ATGTGGTGCTGGGGGATTGAACCACGGTCCCTGTGCTTTGCTAAGCTTGTTCTAAGTAGGTGCTTTAGACCACTGAGCCATCTCACCAGCCCCCCTCATCTTTTTAATCTCAGTCTCCTCCAAAGAGCCTCGGTCATCTCCCACATGGCTTGTGTACCAGTCCCATTATCCAGTAGCCTTGACATAGAACCTCAGCAAGTCTAACCGTGGTAGAGCGTTATTGTGGAGGGAAGGATTCTTGTTTCCTGGTTGTGCCAAGCTCCTCCAGATTCTCCCATTAGAAATAGAAGCTGACTTCCTACCTTATAAATTTACCTGCCTCAGACAACAGAAGTTCTGCCTACTGTCCAGGGATTAGTAGTCAAGGGAGGGGTTAAACAGTGTTCTTGTGGATTGTTTATTTGCCTCTGCCTTTCAGAAATACTAATTGGGTTCAAGATACATTGACTATGCCCTTGGATGGAGAATCACCTGGATAAAAGGGTTTGGGAGAAGTCAGCAAAAAACAGTGACCACGGATAACTAGTGTATGGTAATGAAACCTTTTGGAGAGAATACCATGTTCCATCTTTTTGCCCAAAGCAAGATAGCTGTTCTGTAATATTTATACTAAGGTATGAGAGAAGAAATAAAGATAAAAAGGATACAAGGAAAAGTCATAATTTAAAAATTGTTTTTATACTTGATGTCAGAACACAAAGTTATTCAAAGTTACAAAGTCTTTTTTTTCCTCCTGAAAAACATTAAAAAAAAAAAAAAGATTTCTAAGTCTTAAAGACACAACAAACCTGTAAGATAGGGCCTTCCTTGCTTTTCGCCTATAAAACAGGCCATTTCCTTTCCTCTCTAAATTGAGCCTGGATTTTATTTTTCTTTTTGCTTCCAAAATATATTTTATTTTACCAGAAACATTCTAAGAAAACATTTAATTTTTCTGCAGACTCATCATCCAGTTATCCTAAAGCAGTTACTTCTCAAACCACTTGAAAGTAACTGAGTTAAACAGATTTAGCAAAGAAGAAGATGTATATTTCATACATATGCAAATGGAAGGTGAAATATGGAACCAGTCGTGATGAGAAATCATAAAAAGATAATAAGCAAAATTAGGAATCTCAGTTTTAAAATGAAATTCTATGGTAATATATTTTTACCATTGTTACATCTTTGTTTTATCTATGTTATGTCTTTAAGGAAAGTGGAAACACACATTTTATCATAGTCTCACATTTTCACTCTCATCGGATATTGTAAATTAGTAAAAATGTATGAAAGCATGTTATTTCATGAAACTTGGAAAAGTTAGCTGTAGTGTTATTAAGATACAAAGAAACAAGTATCATTTGATAAATGTCTATAATGCTTTAAGATTTTGATACTTATCACATATCACCAAACAAGTTGCAAATTTCAATCAGCTATTAGAATGCATCATATGCTTTCTTTTTGTATGTATTTGGTACAGGGTCTCACTATGCAGCTCGAACTCATAGTGATCCTCCTGTTTGCAGCCTCCCCAGTGCTGGGATTACAGGTGTGCACCACCACATGCTGGGTCTTGATCCCCAGCACAGTGCGCCCAGGCGTGGGGCTGGTATGGCATATGGTTCTGGGGATTAAATCCTAGTCCCTGTACGTGCCTAAGCAGAGCCTGGATTTTCTATAGATTCTCAAACTCTGCAGATCTCCAACCGAAGAACACATAAATATCCCCAGCCCCAGACAATAGTGCCCCTCACTGATTAGTGTTTACACACCCTTCTGCCTGTCTACCTCTTTCTACTTGCCACATCTGCTTATGCCTCTCACTAACAAATCCAGCAATTTGCTTCCCTGGTAGCCAAGAACCTTCTCTGTGGATGGGGGTAAATTCAAGTCCCCATGTCCTTTTGGTGAAGTACGTCAACAGAACCCCACCTGGTGACTGTGTAGTGAATGCTAAGGTCAAGGAGAGCAGGGGTCCTGAGGCCTTTACTTACTTTCCACTTGAACTTCAAGTGTCTTAAGTTCTTCAGGTCCCGCTTTCCCAATAAGTCAAAGAAAACATCACACTATACAGTGTCTTAGGACTTTCCAGTTCTAATATACTAAGTCCACTTTTAGTTTGTAGAACTTTCTCAGGCAAAATTGTCCTGTCATTTTATGCCAAAGCATTGTTCTTTAATCATTCTAACACTTCAATCTTGTCATACTAATATAACTGTAAAGTCCAAAACTTGTTGCCATCCAGGGCTTAGCAAGACTCCACAAATGGATTCATTGATTGGTAGAGCTCAGCTTTCGTTTTTGAAATTAAATAATATAACCTCCCTTGTTCCTTGTCTCAACAGCTCCTTACCGTAGATTTTCCCCAGGTTAGGGATACATTAAGATTAGGGTAACAAAAAGCTGCCCTGAAGAAGAAAAAAGAGATAAGACACCATGCAAGAGCTAAAACTCTTCTCTAGTCAGTGCTGTCATTTGGATCTGGAAGGTCTCACAGAGGCCTGTGTCAAGAACTTTATGGCCAGCATAGTGCTACTAGGAGGAGGTAAAACTTGAAGAAGTGGGACCTGGTAGCAGGCCCATAGCACTAGGGTATGCATGTGTTTTTCAATGGATTGTGGGGCCCAGGTCTCTTCCTCTTTCTCTTTGCTTCCTGGCCAAAAAATGGTTTTTCTCTGCCATACTCTCCTGCCATGATGTGTTCAGTCAACACAGACCCAAAAATACAAGACCGATTAATCATGGGCTGGAACTTACCAAACTGTAAACTAAAGTAAATCTTTATTCTTTCCACACTGATGAGGTCAGGTATTTTCTTACAGTGATTGGAAACTAACCAATATGATCAGGATATGGCTGTACTTTGAGGTCTAGTTAGAAGCAGAGTGGCTTTAAGGAATATGGAGTTATTAGGCCCTGTCCAGAGAATGAGA